ATGTAATCAGTGGAATTCTTCTTCCAGCACAAACTGTGGCAGTTTTTTAGGAGACAGGTGCTTGTTTTCAAGATTAACTATGGTGATCGGTAGTAAAGACTTCTGAAGTAGGAGAAAATTCTTCCTATCTGCTTCAGGTTGTTCCACCTCAGTTCAGTAGTGCTTTTATAGAAGGAACTCAGTAATGTTCCAGAAACTGAAGGAAGCAGCACCAGAGGTTAAGAATTTGGATCTGAAATCAGGCCCCTGGAGCTTGGATTCTGCCCCTGCCGCTTTGACCTGTGTGACTGTAGGCGGGTGACCGAATGCTCATGTGGGACTGTGGTGCTGCGTACCATGGGATTTTATGAATGAGTATCACGTACGTGGAAGGACGTCAGCAATACTTGCTGTTACTACTAACAAAGTTATCTCGTGTCTGCTGTGTGCCAGACACTGCGCCCGCTGCTGGGAAGAAGATGAATAAGAGCCTGGTCCGGCATCAAGTCGATAGACACTTGATGAGAATCACAGTAAAGCTGTTATAAAGAATTCTGTTCTTGCCGCAGCGCTCTTATGTTAGGGGTGTGCATTATATCACCTGTTTACTGTGTCTGTAGCAACAGTTGTTGAGCCCTTTCCTTGTCTCTAGAATACAGGTAAGTGTGACAGGATTCCTTTCTTTGAGGACATGCTGCACATTCTAAAAGTGGAGACTAAAGATATAAACAAATGCTTACGAGTATTTTTGACAAATGCAGTAATTAAAGGTAGAAAACTTGTACAAAAGGAAGCAGTTGAAAGTAAGAACATGTTTATATAATATGACACTTCATTTGTTTACTTTTATCCTCTTTCGCAATTTTGGTAATTTATAGTGACTCTGTAGTTTTGTACGTCTAACTTGCAATTTTGTTATCACTTATGTTAGCTCTGCTTTCTTTTGCATAGAGGTATTTTGGTATGGATTCCAACAGCTAGTGATTTATCATAATAGCTTTCTTTCCCCAAATAGATTATCTGTTCTGTGGGATACCCAGCTCTTTTAAAGATGTTAATTGTTGTTTTAAAAAGTTGTTAAAATTTACTTGATGTAACATGTTCATTTGAAAAGCTACACTTCTGTTAAAGCCTCAATTCTTTTATTATTTTTCTTCTTTATTATTTTTTCTTTGATTTTTATTTATTTACTTTTGGCTGCGTTGGGTCTTTGTTGCTGCACGCGGGCTTTCTCTAGTTGCAGCGAGCGGGGGCCACTCTTCGTTGCGGTGTGCAGGCTTCTCGTTGCAGTGGCTTCTCTCGTTGCGGAGCACGGGGTCTAGGTGCACAGGCTTCAGTAGTTGTGGCACCCAGGCTCAGTAGTTGTGGCGCACGGGCTTAGTTGCTCCGCAGCATGTGGGATCTTCCCGGACCAGGGATCGAACCCGTGTCCCCTGCATCGGCAGGTGGATTCTTAACCACTGCGCCACCAGGGAAGTCCAGTTCTTTCATTATTAAAGCAATATGCCTTAAATTGTAAATATTTTGTAGATGAGCTGTATCTTGTTTTACGTTGTAGGTTTTGACATTTGCATACAAGCATGCCTTCGTAAGTAAAATGTATGGGAGAGGCCTTAAATTTGCAACTAAACTTGTGGAAGAAAAACCAACAAAAGAAAACTGGAAAAATTGTATTCAAGTAAGTGATATTAAAATTGCCACTGTTGGGTATCATTTCAATATTGTAGAGTGACAAGATAGTTAGAAAGCCTTACGGTAGTGATAAAACAGTACCAACTTTATCGTGACTAATTATTAGTCTAGTTAACATAATGTGAACTATAAAATAAATGCATGAAATGTAGTCAGTAAGCTGTTTAAATTTTTAAAACATTTTTCACTCCTGTCCAGAAAACCTATATTTTTAGCTTCTAGTGTTTTCAACATAGGCAAAATGCATTGCATATTTTGTGTAGTTAGAAGACAGGTTTCCTTTATGAAGGAAGCAGATGATTTCTTTTAAATACGTGTTGGCTCAGTTCTAAAACAGTTGAACTTCTAGAGTTTATGTTTGATTTTATTCTTCATTTGACACGATAGGCCATTTTTTATTTTACCACGTATTATATGCAGGGAAGTTCTGTGGTTGAGCTCTCTGCACAAATTAAGTGTCAACTGTAAGAACTCACTGAACCCCAAGAAATTGTTTCAGCCTAGCCTTGTCTTTGTACACGTATAGTTGGTTTATGCTTAAAGGGTATATGGAGGTTGGGGTACGCTGGTCCTGCCAAAGGCGGCCGAGGGTCTGGTCTTCATATTGAAGGTATTCTTTGGACGTAAAACTCACCTGTAGGTTCCTGGGGCAATTTCTGGTAATTAGAGTAAACTATAGGTTATCTTTACTCTCAGACCTTTTCTGTCAGTTCAAATTGTAAGACATTTCAAATTCACTTCTTCAGATCTTTGAGGAGGCTGAGAGAGTTCTTTCTGGAACTTAATGTCTTCTCATCACGTAGGCTGTGAACTGAGCTCTTACATTTGTGAAGCCCGCGATCCACCCAGATGCTCACACCAGGGGATGTTTCATAACTTGTCTCCCCTCCACTCTGCTCGCCTGCTGTCTGTTCTCCACACAGCAGCCAGAAAAGATGGCTTTAGACCCCTCCTGGTGAAGCTCCGTCACATTTAGAGTAAAATCCAAACTCCTCCCCGTGGCCTGTAAGGCCCGTGTGGTCTGGCCCCTGCCAGCGGCCTCTCCAGCTGCATCTCATATCACACTCCCGCGTCCTCACTCTGCTTCTGCCGTCCCAGCCTCCTCTCTGCTTGGCTGACACAGCGCACCCTTTCCCTCTCGAGGACCCAGCTCTTCCAGCTGCATGGAGAGCTCTTCCCCAGATTTTCACAGAGTAGGTTTCTTCTTGTCACTCAGATTTCAGCTTAAGTGTCACCTCAGAGATCCCTTTCTTGACCATCTCACTTCCCAGTCTGTATTATAGCAAGTTTTATTTTTACTATATACCTGATACATTTCTTATTATTTACTTATTTATTATCTGTTCATTAGCTTGCTGACTTTCTGTTTGGCTTTCCTGCATAGAACTTAAGTTTCCTGAAAGTGGGAAGTGAGTTCAGTGCTTTTTCCTAATGCCTAGAACAGTGTTTGACTACCGTAGGCACTCAGGAAGAGTGAGGGAAAGGAAACTAGGGTGGTCGGAAGGAAAGGAGCCAGTCATGTCAAGTCGATGGGAAGGCAGGAGGGTCGGCAGGGGTGATGATAATCGCTAGGATAGGCGGGTCGGGCGGAAGGAAGGTTGTGGGTGAGTTGATGGAAGGAAAGTTCTACCTGCTGCTTCTTTATTACGACTAAATATTTAATACAGAATTTACCCTAAATGCTGAGCCTGAAACATCTGTTCTTTAATAATTGTGTGTGTTTTATTACAGCTGATGAAGCTGCTTGGATGGACCCATTGTGCGTCTTTTACCGAAAACTGGCTCCCCATCATGTATCCTCCTGATTACTCTGTATTCTAAAATAGGAACCAAGACTTTAAATTTTAAAAAAGTTTTATAGTGAATGGATATAAAAACAAATTTGTGGCATTTTTAGTCTAATGCATGTTTTCATCTGCTATCAAATACTGATTATTAAAATGATGTGTATTTATCAGAGAATTTGCTGGCGTGTGGCTTAATACATGTAAATCTAGACCTCTGACATCATGGTGTTTTCTTAATGCCTCACATTGCTGGCAGCGGGCTGTGCCCTGGCTGCCAGCACCAAGGACTTTCAGTTGGATTGCAGCTGTTACATGCATGAGAGGTTTTGAACAGTAACTTTTAACTGCAAACCTATAAAATTCTATTTTTTATTTTATAAATGAACAGGGTTTTAACATGTGCGACTTTAATTTTTTTCAATTGTATGAAGGCCTTAAAAAAGCTACATTAAGCGTAGCTAAAATTATTTATTAGACTAAAAAGTAACAGAACTTCATTTCCAGATTTTTTTTTTTTTTTTTTTTTTTTGGCAAACGTTTACATTCAATTAAGGGGAGAAAATAAAACCGGCACAAATAAATTTGTGGCAAACGCTGGAGCATAACTGCTTCAATCAGTCTTCATCTTGGAGTTATTTCAGGCCAATCATTTTTAACATCTTCTTGACATGCAGAGCATCAGAATGAACTAATAATACATGTATAAGTGCCAGACAGCTTAAATCTGTATCAGGTATTGTAAAGATACATATATGGTATGTTTATTAAAGTTGAAATAATGTAAACACATGAATAAATGTGCAAACCCAAGATCGCAGTACACCATATGCACTCTCATACCTTAATTTTTTTATAAATAATAAAAGTGAATATTGAAGGTTCTTAAAGTTGGTCTTAATTTTTCATAAATAAAATTTGGGGTTAGAACAGAAAGGAATAATACATTAAATCCATAGACAAAAAATTCAACATGAAATAATTTATAATGTTTCTTATAGTCTTGCAATTATTTGAATATATTTCCGAATCTTATTATGTGATTAACTTTTGTGTAGGTTTAATTTTTTATTTTTATCTCTCTGGCTACTATACTTCTTTCATCCTTCCTCCGTAAAATAAGCACACGTAGACAATATTAAAAGGCCTCTACTGTCTTATAGCAAATATGTTTGTGTGTGTATGGTTTTTAAATCTTCCCTTAGAATTTACTACTGTAAAAGGCCTACCAGAGATCTGGTCTTAGTCATTCGTGACTGTTTTTTGAGTAATTGGCTCCTTTATCTGATGAAGACGTTAGACCCTTTATGAAAAAGTGCACATATGCACGCAGACATTTTGCACAGTTTCTGAGCCATCTAGAGTCTAAAGTGCACCCATGAACAACTGCATGCATGTTCTCTGACAAACACATGCTTTCACCTACGCATGGACAGGTTCAATCCAGTCAGGGAATTGAGATGCTCAGAAGAGGTAGGGTGGCTCCCCAGGGTCGTGCTGCTGGCTGGCTGTTAGAGAACGTGTTTTACCACCGGGTTTGGCATCTCTGATAGTACTACCTGCAGCACAGAGCCTCAGGGTCAGCCAGGGGTGAGCGCTTGGGTCCTCCCCAGGTCCTCCCCGAGGATGCATTCAGCCCCGCGATGTGCGTGGCTGGTACCCAGGAATATGACAGCTTTCTGAGCCCCTCTGGACATTTCCCAGCCTTTCCCTTTAGGCTTTTTAATTAGTCCCAACGGTTAGCCATCATCTAAGGCAGCCGCAAAATTGTACAGTTGCCTGTAATCCTCTAGACAAACCCCTGGGGAAAGGCTTCTCAGCCTGCGAGAGATCTGAGTCCAGTCAAAGACGGCCTTGCACGTGGTGTTTTCTGGGGAACAGTCTCCAGGGATTGCCAGGCTGCTGGTTTTCAAGGCTGCTGTGGAGCGGGAGATGGCATGGGGACAGGGCCATTGAAAACGTCACAAAGCACATTGCTGTCTTAGCTGAGGTTCAGCCGTTTTGAGTGAACATGCTTCAGATTGCTACATGCCTTTGGTTAAGATTGCTACATGCTTCTGAGAATTTTTGTCAGTTTTCTCATGACTTTAACGGAGGAGAGAATTTTCGGAGGTGCTTTTTCACTGACAAAAACTTTTACCAGTTTCACTGAAATGACACCTTTTTTTAGAACATGCCTTTTAGTATCCAATTTTAGTGTAATTTTAAGGTTAGAAACTTCCTAGTAATAGATTGATTTTGAAGCACTACCTTCTGAGTTATGTCAAGGTACAGTAAATTCTGGTATCCTTCAAATACCAGAAAATCACCATTGTTGCATTTCCCTAATTTCTCACTTTATTCTTCAGGGTTTGGTCTTTTCGCTATATTTTTTAATGTGGAAGGAGAAGTTAAGTTCATGGTGGGTTTTGGATGTACTCACAGTCCTGACTGGTAGTGAGAAGCAGTAGAGTGAGATACATGTCTGCAGGGGGAGGTGGTGAATAACAGCGCTTTTTAATAGGACGTGCAGTACATCGTGAAAGTTCACAGGCAATTTTTTTTTTTTTTTAATCTATGAGCCACATCCGGCTCTCTGTTGTAACAAGGACTTTTCTATCCGTAATTACTACTTCTCTCTTTCAGTGGGGTGTAAGTCTTTCTCAGATAATGAAATTTTAGAATGAAGATTATTAAGTTTGCTGTGGAAATTAGAGATACAGCCACACACTGGCAAAGTCTGCTTTGAACTGTGATTCCTAGAAAGGTTGGTCCATCAGTGGTACCCATGGTGAGTGATGCCGGGATCTGGGGCAGTGACGCCAAGCTGCCTTGTCAGCCCTGCTTTCAGGCTAGATTATTCTGTGCCTCCATGCCGACACATAGGTTCCAGGAGAAGCCATCCCCGGCAAAACTATGACGTTTCTGTGTGATTGATACAGGAGACAAAATGGTTCTTTATTTTTTTATTTTTATATTATAAAGTGGATTCTTTTTTTTTCTTTAACTTTTTATTATATACTGGAGTAGAGTTGATTACCAGTGTTGTGATAGTTTCAGGTGGACAGCAAAGTGATTCTGTTATACATGTATCTATTCTTTTTCAAATTCTTTTAAAAGTCGGGACAGTTTTCCTACTTCAGGTAATGGTGACCAATGTCTGCACCACACCACTGAAAACAGAAAGAGCTGGATAAAATAACTTAACTTCTGAAGGAAGCACTAGGGCTGGTGCAGAGTGTGTGCTCAGCACTAGTTCTGGGCCCCTGAGGTGACATCCATTTTCTCATTCCAGCACTGTTTCCGTATTTTTCAGTTTTAATCAGTGTAAAGCCTAGAACTTGTTTTCCATTACTCTTTATCCTCTCCCTTTGCTACAGTTAAAATCTGTACAAAGTAGACTCTTCCGATTAAGATACACGGACCCTGTCAAGCTTATTTTCAAAAAGCAAGTGACAAAAGTATATTGACAGGTTTAAAACCATGCTTTCCAGCAGAAATAACGAGGGGAAATCCACTTGTTTGTTAATTTATTTGTGTAAAATTTATTTAACACTTAATTGAGACTCTCAGAAGCCAACAGAGCTACTTTCATGTTTTCATGTTGGTTGTGTGTATTTAGATGAAGCAGATGATCCTAAACTGCTTGCTTTGGAGAGTTGCTGTAATATTATGTTTATTCTAGTTATACAAGTTGTTTCCGTGCACTACCTTTGCAATCTTATAAAATTTCTAACACTGTTCAAAAGACACACTCATGTTTCGAAAGGTATCTTGTTTAATTTAGTCCCATTTTAGCACTCCTTTAAAAAGTTTGATTGATGACTCTTGAAATTCAGCCAAGAGTGTTGTGTCAAAAACCTGCTTGAATTTATCTAAAAATTCATAATCGGTGCTGAATCTGAACTTGTTTGCCCAAAGCAACACCGTTCCCGGCTGGCAGAGGTACGCCATGGTGGCAAGCAGCTTGTCCAGGAAGTAATGGTGGTAGACCACGTCAGAAGCCAGCAAGTAATCATAGTAACATGTGGACTTGGGGAAGTTCTGTTCCAGGCCCTCTCCCCACACCAGCTCTTTCACTTCAGGCAGATGTGCTGTATGGTTTCGTGTGTTCCTTAAAAGATTGTATTGAAGGTTCCCTAGGACGTCAGGCAAATCCGTTGCTGTGACTTGAGCTCCTAAGAGAGAAAGAGGAAACTTGTACGAATTACCTGGAACATTCGGGCAGCCACAGGGTACACATACTCTCAGGGAGAAATCGAACTGGGCTTCTCACCTTGGCCCTGGACCAGGGCCCTTCTCACCTATGTCCATATGGGCTGGATAATTCTGCTGGGGGACCCTGCCCTGTGCCCTGTAAGATGTTTAGCAGGGTCCCTGGTCTCCATCCACAAGATGCAAGTAGCACCTCCCCACCCAAACCCCAAGTTGTGCTGATCAAAAATGTCCCCCGACACTGCCAAATGTCCTTCATGGGGCAAAAATCACCTTTGGTGAAGAACCATTGAAATAGAATAACGTTCCCGTCTTTTAAGAAACTAAGTTAAACGGCGGTGCAGTTTTGAGAGATTTCAGAATAATTAACTAAACATACCAAGATTCTTAGCGTTTGGTTACTGTCATCATTTATAATGTTTTTCCTTCCCAAACTGTCTTTATCTGAAGATTTTGGTTTTCTCTTACGTGAGGTGTCAGCACCTAGTTTTCTTTCCTAAGGGATGATCTAATTTGAATGACTCTCCCCCCTACTAAATGCATTAAGTTAATTTTTAGGCATTTTAATGCTAGTGATAAAGGTTCACAAAATCATAATTCCAGATTGGTTTTGATAGAAGAAGATCTGTAATAGTGTAGGCTGAAGTAGGCCAGACATACCCGCCTCTTGCCCAGCTCCCAGGACTCACAACTGGCATTTTGGGTATAAATCTGTCTTCACCTTGGATTCACTCACTTATTTTTTGTTTTTTTCCAAAACATCAGTTGTTAATAGTTGCACTGAAAAGCAGGGGACAGCATAACAGAGCTGTTTACAACAGGAATTCAAGAGTCACACCTTCAGAATTTCAACTTTCTCACGTGGTAATAATCAATGGATTGGACGAGTTAGCCTCTAAGGCACAGTTATCTTATCTCCGGATAACAGCAGTCATTCTAGCCTGGACGTCTGGGTAGATTCAGTGAGTGCGATCACGGCCAAGCACCTAAACCACAGCCCGTCACACAGTAGTAAGTGGTTATTATCACTGTTGTCACCGTAACCATCTTTTGAAACAAGGCCGAGAATAGACAGACAAACCTAGAATACTGGCCACGATGGAAACGAGGCCTGGTCCAGCACCGATTTCGAGCATCTTAGCTCCTTGGAGACCGAGTTCCTCTGCGTGTTCCTCCAAATACTGGCACAAAGCCATGGCCTGAAAAACATTCACAGTTGTCACCTGGACACTGGAAACCGAGGACCCTGTTCCCCACCACAAGTTAAATACTCAAAGACATGTTAAAGAGTTTCAGCTTACTGGGGGCTCACAAGAATCAAAATATACGTGCAACGGCGTGTTTTGACCTCTGGAATATGAACGCTGTAACATGCATCAGAGGAACTAGAGAGACAGACTTGTGAAAGCGCCTGTACCAGAAGACCCTTGACCAGCCTCCAGGAACAGGAAGGTCAGCTCAGCTCTTCCAGAACCAGGAGACAAGGGGCCACAGGGCAGCAAGCCCTTGCTTACGTCGTGTCGGGCCTCCACCTGCTGTAAGACTTGCGCTGTAAGCAGCTCCATCCCCTCCCTGCTGACTCCACCAGCGTTCAGGTTGCTCTGGACTTTGCCTGCTGCACTGAACAACTGCGTAGGAATTTTTCTCTTAAAGCAGTTCATCTAAGAAACGCTCGACTGGCTGGGCAGTGCTTCCCAAACCCTAGCGCACATGTAGGTCACCTGGGGCCTGGTGAAAGACGCCCTGGCCATGTGTGGTAGGGCTGATGGAGCTCAAGGCTGCATTTCTAACAAGCCACCAGCTAATGCCAGTGCCGCTGGCCCACACTTTGGGGGGGTAGCAGCAAGGAGGTTACATCCTTTACACAGTAAAAAAAAAAAAAAAAGAAAAAAAAAATTTAGATCGATTTCTGTACAGAAAATCAAGGTCCCTTCCCATGTGAGCCAATGGGCGTCGGCTGGTGATGTCACGGACTAGAGGGACTGGGGAGAGTTACTAGGCATGAGGGCGTTACCGGAGTTGGGAATGCGAACCCTGCAACCCTGCGCTGAAAAGGCAACGTGAACGCTCTCGTTTGCACACACCTTTAGCCCTTGTCTTCGTGCAGGTGCTCTGGGCTCGCTATGACTCACTTTCTGTCTGGGGCCCAGGCTGGAGTAGGGGGCGGCCTGGATCGTATGAGACAGCCGCGCTCACGATGGCCTGCGCCAGGGTTGGCGGCAGCTCCGAGCCCGTGGGTCCCTCCCTTTCCTCCCCAGCTCCTCTCAAGGGACTCGGGGGCCAGGGACGGGGGTGGGGGGAGGACGGAAACCAATTCCCAATGGCACTGTAGGGAGGTAAGGGGCGTCAAGGGGCCCTGGGCGCTGGAGGATGAGTGAGAGGGGGACAGGCGGGACGGCACGGGTGCGGGGTGGCACTGGCATCCAGCCCGTGGCAAGGAGCTCCAGAGCTGGGGACGGCAGTTTTGAGGAAAGGCCTTCTTCGGTTCTTGAGGAGAAAGGAGCATTATTCACTGTGTGGGATTTCAGGATTTGGAAGAGTGTCACCCAGAGCCACCAAGACGTGTGCTCTGAGGAGTTCCTGAAGGGGTGGCTGTAGGCGTCCTTCCTGAAGGGCCCTGCCCTGTGACAGGCTGGCCCGGTGGATGCCATCTGGGGACGGATCTTCTCTCGGGAACAGCTACATCTTTCAGCAGACACTCCCCCGCTTCTTAGTCCTATTAGCAAACTCCGAAAAGTCATCTCTCACAGCTGCTCTTGAAGTCGCACAAGGAAAGGGTGCTTCCCCACACGATACGGATCCTTCTGCCACCTTCAGGAAACTGAGGTCCCGAGAAGGGCCAGGGTTTGGTGCATGAAAGGCTGAGACCTTATTAAGAATAAAACAGTCCAGTGGACAAATCATCTTTTTCCACTCCTGATTTCTGATCACCCAGCTCTGGGTGTCTGTTTGCCAAATACAGTAGGAAGCTGTGGAGAGGCGCTTGCTGGTTTCAAACTTGTTAAGCCAAAGAAAAACATTCAGCTGAAGGAAATCATACTTACATTAAGCATAACGGGTAAAAATCGAGCTTCCTTGGCTGGGGTCAGTGAAGGGGCAGCTCTAAGAGCCTGGAGCGCTTGGCTGTCCCTCCCCTGCCCCCCCGCTCCATCTCCCCCATCACTGGTACCCAGACTGCAAAGGGCGCTCCAAGGAACCTCTGATCACAGCCACGCAGCGGGCCAGCAGGTCTGCGTCACCCGGGAGTGAGTCAGAAATGCAGCCCCAGTCTACCTCCCCCAGCCTGACCTCCTGAATCAGAGTCTGCATTTAACAAGAACCCAGGAGGATTCCCATCTAAGCTAACAGTGGGGCATTTAACAGGAACCCAGGAGGATTCCCATCTAAGCTAACAGTTCTGATCTGGAGCCCCTCCAAGCACAGGCTGAGAACCTCTGCAGTGGAAAGAACGAAGGCGCTGGCCTCCGAGGTCCATCGTCCCAGCCTGGTTCTGCACTGCGCCGCGCCAGGGGAAACAGTGCACTCAGCCAGGACATGGCAGGTTTTCTGGCTCTGAATTCTGTGTTTTCCCCCATTTCAGCTCCATCCTCTGGGGACTGTTGCAGGGAGAGCATGAGATGAAGCACCACTTCCTAAGCGTTTCCACTGGACTGGCCGCACTGTAGAAGGCGAGTGAATACCCGAAGGTCTGTGGGAGAGGCCCAAAGGTGGCCACTACAAAATCTAAACTCTAAAGACTTTTCTTCTGATTTTTTTAACAATTCATATGAATTTTTCATCCTACTTCCCAATATACTCAAGTTTATGTTAATGTGAGAAAATAATGTCTCAAGAAACATAGCATAGAGGAAAATCGTTGTTTTTAGGAAAGATGCCGTGTTTCTGCAGCATCTAGGTACACCAGCAACACCCCTGGGGGGGCATCCTTGGACCCTCAATTTGAGAAGCACAGAACGTTAGAGCACGTGGCAAGTCGTCCAAGGCACCACAGTTGTACAAATTTGCTGTTCTCATCCCCAGAATCCCCGACGCCCCAATGTGACAGCTCCCTCACCCCTGGCCACACCACCGCTCCGTAACTCTCGATCGATTCTTGAATGACAATCCTCTTGCCTGCAAACCAATAGTACTCCTGGGTGTAGCTGGCGTAATTCATGGGAACAAATTTCTGGAGGCTTTGAAGCGATGGTTCTATCTTGTTAGAATCTGTGGGACAGAAAATTAAATCGGTTTCATTATTTGTTGATCCAGTGCAAATCTACACTCGGTACAGTTAGTCAGACGGGAAGAGACTGAGCAATCTTCCAGAAACAGAGGGGGGAATGCCATCAGTGAGACAGTGGCTGCAAACTAGCCCAAACTGAATGATATGGGGTGACAGGGACATAACATTTCTATGGGACATTTTTATCATACGACGAAATGCCAAAGGATGCCCTGGGCCCTTCCCTCGATCTAGGAGCAGACAGTGCGGTATCGATCCATCCCTCCCTCTGTTTTGGTGAGAGGAGGAAGCTAGGCCACCGCACAGAATGGCACGAATGAGCCATCTGCATAAGGAGGACCGAGGCAAGCGTGGACCTGACTATTTTTGGGTCTTGAAGTGATGTAACATTCCCACATGTTGGCTGGAACATGTTCCTTAAGTCCTTCTACAACTGCTTCTCAAAAGGTGCAGGTCACCCAAAGACGAGCCAGCTCCGCAGTCCTGGGGGAGGTTGTCAGATGAGCTCCAGCTATTAAATTACTCTTCCTTAAATACTCCTTTACGCTCATGACCACTCAAGCAGCTCTCAGATGTCATATAAAATGAGAGGAAAAGAGCACCTGATCGGGGCTGACATCATGGAAGCCCAGAATGTCAAAGGTTTCGCAGGGGGTTTCAGCATAAAAAGAACAGCGAGTAATAAGGTCAGAATGGGGACCCTGAGCACACGGAGGGGTCGTGCGCAGAAGACGGGGGCTGCTGGTACCCTTGGGGAGAGGCGTTGGCAGCGAGGAGTCTGGGGGGGAACTTGCATGAGACCAGCCTTTGCTGCCTGAGCTCTGCCTGCGGATGTGTAACCGGGGATGGACTAGTGGAAAGGAGCATTCAGTGAACATCTGAAGGTCTCTAACCAGAAATATGCACTCAAGGAGGCAGGTGAGGGTGAGTGCAGGGTGAGTGCAGGGTGAGGGGTAGGGGGCCTTTGAAGAAGCCTAATCAGGGGTCCACCCCTCAGAGTTCAGGTTTCACTGATCTCCACCCGCACTGGACGGTTCTGTGCCACGGCTCTGCAAACGCTTTGCAACAGGGTCACAGCCAGAAGAGTCCAGAAATGTGGAGTGAACACTTAGAAACATTTACAACAACTTGACCATATCTGTTGAATCTGATTACGAAAAACCAAAGCTTGTATTGTGTATGTCTTTGTACTTCTTTTCATGTTGTTCCTCCAGAAATTCATTTGTGTTGCATTTTACAAAAAAGTATCCAAGTGGTCTTTGACCACAGTGTGGGCCAAATGACCAGTTTGTAAGTTAGCACAGTGACGCCTGCAGCTCTCAGCCGTGGGTTCTGGTCTCCTGGAAGGAGAATTCTCTGTCCTGACCACAAAGGCGAGCTTCCAGAAACCCAGGACTTCCTTGAGCTTGCAAGAACCTGCTGATGAATAGTGGCCAAGTCCTGAGATGTCATCCTTCCCTGTCATGTGCCCCAGGAGAGGCTGTGGGGAGAGGAGAGGACCTTTGGTCCTCACCCACCTCTTATAAGGGGAAACAACCAACATCTAAAACCATGAACCTGAAATTTATCACTCAACAAAGGGGACCCAGCTTCTCCCATAGGCTGACAGGCTGACTCTGAGTTCTGTTTCAGAGAAAATAAGAAGGTAGAGGAACAGACCATCTTGTGCCCAGAAACTTTAACAACCAGCCTGGGGGCGGTGAGGAAGCACTGACGTGCAGGATTTGGCCATCACCATGGTGACAGCGCTCCCACAGTGGCCATCCCTGGGAAAGGGGTGAAGCAGCTCAGCACCACAAGCATTTCTACCACACGGATACGACACCCCTCAACAGCCTCAAGGGCACAGGTCATCGTAAAATGTAGGAAAAGAATTCCGGATGAGACGTGAGTATTTATTACCTAAGTTTTTTCATATACCTTTACCTTTTACATAATCCATTTCATTGTACGTTTGTATGACTTAAATTTTAACAATGGCCATGTTTAACAATCAGCTCGCAAAATTCCTGAAATGCAGGAGCTGGTACAGGCCATCTGGAATGAGGAGTGGGTACCGGGCTGTCCTCCTTACCTCTGAGCCTCTCATCACTGGAGCAGCCAGACCGTCAGGGACCCAGGCCACCTCCTGCCAGCTTCCGTCCCCTCGATATCACCCAGACCATTCCTTCCTCCCTTCCTCCCACAAATAACCACAAATAAAGGCTAACTTTTCTCTCAAGACTGTAGGAAAAGTCTATGTGCTGATTTTAAGTGGCTCATCCTTTCACAAGATGACAGATCGTAAGCTGATGGTTGTACTCTCTGGATCGACATTGTAAAGAAACATGGGCATATAAATGTCCTCCATAAGACCATTTTTCCACGCTACAAAGATAAAAGAAATTTATGTTGATTGCACATGATTTTCAATTCTTGTATCTATGCTCATCTGACAGTTTTAGAGACATCAGATTTTCAAGATAGGCAGAGTTGCATTTTTATGTAAACAGTTTAGGAAAAATGAATTACCATCCTGGTTTAACAGAGTTGGAACATAATTTTCCACTGTTGACTGTTAACGTTTTGAACGTTACATCTTGGCTCTTATGACATCATTTGTTATGTCTGTTGTTTATTTACTACTGATTCCCTGCCCAGAAAAGCAACACTAAAGGGTTCTGTTGTCATAATGGGAAAGTACACTTGACTTTACACTGATCCACTGAAGGACGCAGCTGCTAGGAATACATTTTGGCGAAAAGCAGGAAGGAATCTAGATTTCATTTCTCTTTTAAAAGTTCTTGTTACAAAAATCTAACCCTCTTAGATTTGGATAAAACAAAGTTTTGGTCTTTGATAGGTAAATAATAAAAACATAGGGATTACCTTTAGTGTCATGCTTCTGCTTGCATAAAGGCATTTTTCTACTAAGCATCATGATAAGAAAAAGATGTAGGGTTAAAAGGAAATGGATATTTTTGTGCCTGGGGTTCACTGCAAAACGCCATGCCCAGGAAAAGATGGGAGAAGATGTGGAGCTGAGGAAGGAGGTTACCTCCCGGGGGTCCGCTGCTGCCGTCTGTCTGTAGACCCTCCTCATCCGGGGGTCTCGGTGCCTCGTCCACGGACTGGGGCTGCTGCCCTGAGCGCAGACACACATCCATCCCAGAGCCGCCAGGGAGGAGAGAGCTGGCCTGGACTGAGCGCTCCTCCGGGTCTGAATCGCCCAGAGCCTCTGCAAGGTGCAGCTTATCTCCTTAGCATCTGCTGAGCTGGAAAGAACACCTGCATTTCAGCTTAGTTTCCCGGGGCGGGGGCGGGGTGGGGAGAACAGCCGCCCTGGGTGCTGCCATCCTGGTTTTGCAGAGCAGAGTGGAAGGAAACCCTGACACATCATCACCCCACCTTTCCATCGCCTGGAGAAATGCAAAAGCAGAGCCACTGTAGCCAGACAGGTGCTGCCTTGCTGCAGTCTAAGGTGTATTTCTAAGAGCTTTTGGAACTGAATCTCCATGAAGAAGGTCTGATCCAGACGTACATATCTTTAAGGGTACCTTGTGGATCCAGGGTTAATGACATCATGGATTTGTCCCCAATGCGGGGCTGCTCCCTTCTCATCTGAGGCTTTAGCGCAAGACAGTAGAAAGCGCTGGGGGCTGAGAGCCGGGAGGCTGGTCGGCTGCCCCCTCTTCCTCTTGGCAACTCACTTAATCCCCTCCACACCATTTCCTCCTCAGCAAAAAAGGGAAGGATGAGATCTACCTAGCCCCTAGGGCTGTGGGCGAGAAACGGGAGAGCAAAAGTGATTAGTGCAGCTCAGGAAAACTACTGATGAAGAAAACAGGACCTGGCTGTTGGGATCATTGATCAGCTTCCAAACAAGAACACGTGACATCGCTGCGCGACTTCGCGTGTTTTTGCCAAGCACCGTTCTTGTGCTTCTAGTGAATTGATTCATCTAATCCTCACAACAAACCCTATGAAGTGGATGCTATTATTATGCCTCTTCTCAGATGAGAGAAATTCAAGCACAGAGAGATTCAAAAGCAGCCCAGGAGCACGCAGCCGGCCAGTGGCAGGGCCAGGAGTCAAACCCAGGAGGTCCAGCTGCAGGATCTATGTTCTTGACCATGAGGTGGGACACGGCTTGAGCTGCCTTGCTTCAGCGGTGGGTTTTCTGGCTGAGTTTGCCCTGAAATGACTCATAATGCTTAGTTGTCACAGTGACGTTTTCTAGTCTTTTTTTTTTACAAAATGTAAATCGTTTTCCTAATTTGTTTTTATATACCAGAGTTGCCCCATCATATTGTTTTGGCCAGCTGGGGACAGCAACCAGCCACACCATTACTAACTATTCCACACCTGGAGGGGTCATGTGCCTCTCACATTAATGTGCAACAGCATTTCAAATCAGGGAAAAGTAATTTAGCATTTTCACTGGCTCTAGAATCAAACAATCAAATATTTACCCCAATTCTTCAACTCAAGGAGTTTTTTTTCTCTTGCAGATACTTACTTGCTCCTTCTCTTCAACGTGCCCCCGACTCCAGAAGTGAACTGTTCCCCTAAAAGACAGCTGACTGGTTGTTGGTGAGTACCCAGAGCATCTTCAGGGAGGAAGTCTCAGCGCTGCGGTGAAGGGCCCTGCATTTGAATGCTGGCTCTGCCATGTGCTAATTTTGTTGAAAATGTAGATAATGGTGATTCTGACCTCACATGACGGTCGTAGGAATTAAGTGAGATAACCTGTGCAAAGCCTCTTGCGCAAACAGTATTAACTTATTCTCATCTTCAAAGCCAGAGAGTAGTCAGGCAAGACAACACTCTTTACAGGACACCCACCCAGCACCACGGGACTCTGTGCATTAAATTTAGACACTTCTTCATTTTGCATGCAAGAAAAGGAGGCCTGTTTTCACTCCAATAACAGGTAGTATTTTTCCTTGTGAAATGAAATGACTCCCCTCCCCCATCATTATAGTTGACGTGAGACATTAATTTTTTTCCCCAAAAAGCAACCTAGAAAATAACTACAGTAATCTACCTAGTGTTCATTATTAGCTCAACACATCATATGATCTATATCATATGTTAGTATTTAATAAAGAATTGGGAAGTTCTGAAAAGGACTCCTTGTTAGTACCCTCAAAATAATTTCGAACGGTTAGTTTAAACATATTTTTACCTTATGCAGCAGAAGAGATTTGAGATTTCTGTGCAGACTTCAATCCCCAATGTTTTATATAGGTCTGCACCTGAGAGGATTAGCATTTTATGAACAAAAGCCAGCCAGTGGAAGTCCAAGTTATTTAGGGTAGCATTACCCACCAGTACCCATGCACATTACTTTGCTAGAATTACTCTCTCTCTTTCTCTCTATCCCTTTCTCAGTTCTCAGTTTTCTGTCTTACACACACACACACACACACACACACACACACACACACACACACACACACACACACACTTCTTTCAACATGAAATGGAATCACTCTCAAAAGATCCAGAAATCGTTCCAGCAGAATAGAGGCTGTCCTCTGTGGTATCCAGTGGCTGTGATGTGGTTTGAAATGTAGACTTACGTTTCATTTTAAAAAGGAGTGGGCGGGTGCACAGGTGGGGTTTTGTACAAACCTGGAAGCTGGGTGCTTATCAGCCCAACTCCTGTGGCTGAAGGGAGGGGCACGACTGACGTGGCCTCTGTCCTGGACCCTGATTCCAGCAGCCAGAAATAACATTAAGACTCTGCTGAGAGGAGGACGAGAGAACATCTATCCACAAGAAGGGATGTGTGTCAAAGGCTTAAAGTTGCGTAAGGGGTAAAGTTAGTTGGGGCAACAGTGAACAGGAAATCAGAAAACTCTTCCCAGAAAAAAGCCAGCCATTGTCATTAATTTCATTGAATAAGGAGCAGTTAAAAAGGAAGGAGGAAAATCATGTGCTCGTTTGGGAAGACTGGAAACCCTTAAAATAGAATATAGGGCATGTAAATTAAAGGCTTAGGCAAATGAGAATTGAATAATCCTTCACATTTATGAGGGACTATGCTTACCCAGTGAGCTGAGTGAGCGACTTAGCTTGAGTAGATATGAGCCTATTTTTATTTATTTCTTTACTCATCTTTGGAAATCTCTTCTCTGCTGTCACTTTTGTTCTTTAGTCCATTTCTTTTAACTCCGGATCTTCATCTGGACACGCTGTGGTCCCATGACTATCCTCGTTCTCACTCCCTTAAATGAAGGGAGGTGAGGGCAGTCTTTTCCAAGCCTGTCATTCAAATACTTTCTTATTCCCCAGATGGTCCAGTCCTGTGACTGACCCTGCTCTCCTGTGACTTATTTCCACCAGGTGTCATCATCCCTTTAAGAAACAGCAAAAAGATGGTCATCATTACAATTTAATAAATAACTCAAAAACTGATCGCAATTTATACGAATATATATATATATATATATATACACACACACACACACACACACGTTTATTCTACATGCCTTAAAATGAAGAAAAGAACCAAGGAGAAAAATGTTCTGAATCTCCTTTAATCCCACTACCTGGGGAAGGAAACTGAACCAACATTTTTGGGTGTCAACATCTGGGCTTTTTTGTATAAACCTTATCAAAACTATTTGGCTGAAAATGAAACTGGATGGAAATATGTATCTCTCTCGACCTAGTATGGACTAGTCTATTATTTTAAGAGTTTCTTTTCAATACTTTCTTCAAAAACCATCTTTTCGGTAGCTGCTTTAGGAAACGAATCAGAACTCTACTGCCCGGAGCTGGAATGAGTTAGTCCGAGGTTCCTAAACACTGCGCTGTGGTCAGGGTACCTCACAGTTAACTGCAAGCTTTAAAGTACATAGACTCTGGGCTCTTGGAAGTTCTTTTGCAAGATCGAAGAAGGAGTCTAGGACTTTGAACTCCCCGTCTGACAACTGTTCCCGGCGTGTCTATAGCACGGGCACGCAGTAGGTGTCCATCTATAGGGCAGGGGACGTGTGGGTTGTTTTCCCATAGTTGAAGTGCCGGTCCACGAGGAGGGATTAGCCTCCTGCCGGGCTCCGCAGGGCACGCTGATGAAGTAATTTCCCAGGAGGCAGATTTGGGTGCAACAGGAAAGAATTTTGTAACGAGCCGAGCAATGGAACAGTTGGTCTCGGGGAGCCTAGCAGGATGGAAAGTGGGCCAGATTTAGAGTCAGAGGATGCAAGACTGGATAAAGGTTTATGCAGGGTCAAGGAGAAGGCTGCATACATGCCGCCACTCTGCATATCTCCATCAGTGTGGACTCCGAGGTATCACCGGGCTTTCTTCCAGCTCTCTCACTGGTGGTCCTCAACGAGGGGGAATCCTCCCTCCCTGCAGGGCTGTTTGGCTATTTGGAGACAATCTGGCAATTTTTGCTTGTCACCGCTGGGGGAGGGTGCTATTTGCATCTAGTACAGAGAGGCGGGGATGTTGCCGGACGGACGTTCTACACAGGGCGACCTCCCTCCACTGCCCCCAGCAAAGAACCAGCCCAAAAGTCAGCAGGCCCCAGGCTGAGAACCCCAGTCTAGGCAATGGGTAGGAGTTGGATGCAGGGTAAATTCTAATTGCCATCCTGCAAATACCATCTACCAGCAGGCTGATTCCTGCCGCCTCCGTGTCAGGGTCCTCGTCCATAAAATGGGTGGGTTGGCATTCACAGAGTGGCTCAGACACGCCAGGCTCTGAGCCACATCCTCACAGAGATCCAACACTGCAGCCCCTGGCTTTGTCTGGTTTCTCCCAGAACCAGACCCAGAGACAAGGATTTGAGAGAAAATATTTTATTTGGGGAAGTGAAGAAGGGGGAGAATAATCCAGGGCAAGGGAGGCCACCAGCAATGGGTGTTTATGAAGCAAGACCTACCGCAGGGGGTGATAAACGACTTAATCCCGTGGGGGAAGACTTGGAAATGAAGCAAAATACAGACCTCAGAACTATTCTACTCCAGGTCCAGAGGGTTTCTGGGCTGTCTTTATACCAACACATCGGCACAGATGCAGAGACAGCAGATGGAGCACCCTGATGTGTCCGAGGGATGTGAGATGGTATCATTCCTCTTCCCGTGGTAAGAAGCGAAGTTTTATACATCTGAAAGAATCTGGCACAGCGTCTGGTGTCCTAGAAGGTCAACAGTAATATGTCTTGTATTAAATTGTATGCCATTCAAGTCGTGGGTCGGACAAGCAGGGTTCTTTGGAAGGGCTCTGGGTCATTTCTCTGAATCAAATGGAAAGGCTGAGCATTGGGGCTTCAGAAATAACGGGCCCAGGATGGCTCTGGTCCCACATATCCCAGCAGCAGCAGGTGTTCATGGCCTTCTCTTTGAACAGTGCTCTGGGGGCCTCACTGCCGTCACCTTCCGCCTTGTGTAACTGTAGATTCAAGATCTGGGGGACGTGACTCTGATTGGTCTTAACTTGGTCATAAGCCCTGCCTCATAGTCAGGGCTGGTCGGGGCGAGAGAAGCATCTGACCACATCACAAGGAGTAGTGCAGGCAACTCCGGGAGGGATGCTGAGCCCATAACAAGCAAGAGTTGTGTGTGGCCCTCTTCCTCTCCCTGCCACCCTATGCGTACACACTTTCTTATTTTCATAAATACAATTTCAAAATGGGGACCCATCCTCTCTATAATGGAACATAATCTTAGTCTCATTGGCTATTGCATCCGGAGAGAATGGAGCCATTCTTCAAGTTGAAACCTCTAGACAGTGGCATTTCTTCACTAGTTCCATGCTTGTCCCTCAATGGGCAGGCATTCACAGGAGACCAGAGACAGTAACTTAATTGTTTCATTACCATTCACCACAGGCCGCTAGTCCTGTCCCAGAATATGAACGAGAGGCTCACTGCTTCTCACGTGACCTTCCCCAAAAATTCTACAGTGGAAGGGTTGCTGATCAGACAGATATATGTCCACCGTCCTTACTTATAAGGGAGACTACGGTGGTAATTCATTTCCAGGGAGGTGAGGGTCTCAGCGGAAAACTAGAAGTTCCTGAAAAACCCTGGTAACCACTAACATTCCCAAAGTGTGTGATTTTCAGTGTGTTATGCAGAAAATATTTAGTCACAGTGCAGTGCAATTCCAGAATTTCTGGTCCCTCAACTATTTGGTAACACAGTGGCTCAAAGTTCATGATCCGTTCTGTCAAATGATTCAGGGCTGCTGCAATGCCCCCTCATTTGCCAGATTTCTCGGGGAGCCCCTGAGGGTGCCAGAGGAAAGGGTTCATTGATGCTGCTATGGGAGAGGTAAAGATTTAGACCAGCTAGCACTGTGGAGGCTCAGACATGGGAAGCCTGCACAGCAGGACCTTAAAATGGGACTCTTCTTATCTTAGTTTGACTGAGACATGAAGATGATGGATTACTTGTCTTGTTAAAGAGAGACCACCACGAGACATTTTAAAGTAGGAGTTCAAAACACATTCAGGCAACACTTACATTTTGTCAAGCTTGTGGACATAGAAGAATTTGCTTCTATTTCATTTTAAATGCCCTCTATATAATGACAAACATTACCAGTCAGCATGGAAGAAACAGTGTGAGTGAAATCATCCAGTACATTTGGAAACAGCAAGTGAAGTTATAGCCCTTTCATCTTAAAAAATAGCACATGCCTGGTCCTAAGCATTTGGGTCCGCATTTGCTCCCCATAATTTATCCGCCTTATAAAGTGCCTCTGACAGGAAACCATGATGGACTTACATGCATTTCGAAGAAGGGATTTACTTGGTTGTTTGTTTCTATTTTTAATTTTTTCTCAAGCCAGTTCTTAAAACAGATTTCCCCTCAAACAAATTTCATTGTTGTTTTAGAAGAATCTTCGACTGCAACCGTGTGTAAATCACAATTGGTAATTGCCAGGGTTCATGTCATCAAAAGAGCCAAGAATGCTTTGGAGCTGAGCTGTGAGCCTGTGATATTAATCACATGGAGGGACATAATGCTTGGGCAATAGGTTTAGATAAGAAATTCTGACCGAAATGTCTACGAAATAAGGGTCAGTTCGCTAGTAACATTCCTCTTAAGTTAACATTTAATAAACAATAGCTTTCTGATGCTCACCTTCATCCTAGGATAGATGGAACCAAATGAATCTATCAGTATGGAAAAAAAAAATCCCTTCACAATAATTCAACTTTGAGAATGAGGATGGGCCCTCAGTTCCAGTTTTATTACCCAGGAAGCAGAAATGACTACAGCAAGCCTTACAGCTCCCTGCCAGACGTGGATGCCTCCAATACCATCTGTTCTTTCCATATTGCCATCAGCTGCTTGGAAATGGCACTTTTTAGAGGGACTTTTTTTAGTGGTAACTAATCATGCTCCAGTTTTAGCAACATCAGTTGACCTGTGTTCAGAAAGATAATTTTTTCCCAACAGATTTCTACTAGGAAAGAATGTTTACCTGATGGGACTCTTCTGGGATGGGCCACAGTGGAGAATTCCTTTCATTCTTTCCCCTCATTCTAGGGCAGACTCAATTTGAGAAGCACGGGTTCTCATCTAGGGCTGTGCTGTCCTGGGTTTGGGGAGATATGCTGAACGATTTCAGTACCAAGCCAGGTGAAAGGAGTGAGAGGGTCGCGGAGGAGCAGAGAGGGACGGGCAGTTCCATGGGAGCCTAGCCCTCCCGATTTCCAGCTGTGGGATCCCAGAGAAGTCACATCCCCGGGCTCCCTTTCCTTCCTCTGTTAGGGATGATAACACCTCTTACATACTTACTGCATAGATCCTTATAGGGGTCAAATGAAACAAAGTATATGAAAGAGCTTTGAAAATTACAAGGCCTGTTCAGCATTATCATTAGTTCTTTCAAGAGGAATTTGGATCCTCTGTCATGTGTGCCTCAATAACTTACAAAAGAAAGCAAGTGTTCACTTCTGGCCACGGACTGATGAACATGGTGCAGGCGTTCCTTTCCATTCCCAACACATAAAACACCCAATAAAGTATTTCCAAAGACGCTTTAGAAATGCATATCCAAGCTTGAAAGAAAGGGAAACCCCTAGATGCCATAAATGAAGGGGGAAATCAAAGCCACAATAATAAGTGAACTAATTTATGCCACCGCAGCGTGGGGTGTATTAGACTTGGGTGCAGTCCTAGCATCCAAAGGCTTTGGGGTTTTGATGCTTTTGGAGGACAGAAGATACGTCCTTGGGCAGACAGGATATGCGATCTGGGTAAATCCAGGTTTGGGGCAGGGCCTGATGTATATACAACCTGGGGGGAGTGTCCTCTTTAAGGAAAAAAATTTAAATTACAAATACAAAATTTGGTACAAAAGTAATATTTATTTAAAATGAGAAATCACCCAAATTAACAAATTTTAAAAGATGTAAAAGAGTATTTTTAAAATAATATGTCAATCATGATTTACTATATATAATGAATATAATTATTATAACTATATAATGCATTATATAATTATAACTATATAATATAATAATTATATATATGGAATCTAAAAAATACAACAAACTAGTGAATGAAACAAGAAAAGGAAGCAGAGTCATAGATATAGAGAACAAACTAGTGGTTACCAGCAGGGAGAGGGAAATACAGGGATAGGAGGAAAAAAAGGCTTATTATGGGATTATATAAAATCATGTGTGTGAAACTTTTGAAAATTGTAAAGCACTATAGAATTTAAAGAATCATTCAATAAAAAAATTTTTTTAAAGAGAAAAATAGAGTACATAAAAATATATTAATCATGATTTACCGTATATAATTTATAATTATAACTATATAATACATGATATAATTATAACTATATAATATAATCATTATTATATAATATTAAATACTCTATCAATATATAAACTTCCTACCACACTTTAAGAATATTTCCTAAATTTTTGCTTGCCTACTGTTTGATTACTTTATATGGTAACAATATAATACCATATTTCTTAGAGAAGATAAAACATTAATAAAGTTTTTTTCTTCTGGCATGATTAATTTAAATATATTATAATTAATGATATTTTGATAAAGTTTCTTTTAGCTTTGTAACCCATTATTGGTAATGTCATGTGAATTTTTAGGTTATCAAATTTGCTTCTTTCATACATGACTTGTAAGATTACAGGGCAATTATGAAGAGACTGGCTGTAAATATTCTTTGAATTGACAACACTTGTTGACCAGATTGTGATCTATGCCCTTGGTTTTTTTTTTTTTTTTTTTGCCACGTTGGGTCTTTGTTTCTGTGCGCGGGCTTCCTCTAGTTGTGGCGAGCGGGGGCCACTCTTCATTGCAGTGCGCGGGCCTCTCACTGTCTCAGCCTCTCTTGTTGAGAAGCACAGGCTCCGGACACGCAGGCTCAGCAGTTGTGGCTCAACGGGCCCAGTTGCTCCGCGGCATGTGGGATCTTTCCAGACCAGGGCTCGAACCTGTGTCCCCTGCATTGGCAGGCGGACTCTCAACCACTGCGCCACCAGGGAAGCCCTATGCCCTTGTTTTTGTAGTGAATTCTATGTTTTATTTTTATCTTCTTCAGTGTCAGTATTTCATATTAAACAGTAAGAAGTTTAATCTTTTTTCCCAATGTGTTCATATTACTCCTTCCTTTTTATTAACTGGTAGGATAATTATGCTTAAGTACATGAACTCCAGGCATCTGTGGACTTGAACTTCAAGACGCAGACAGAGGAAAAATTAACGCACTTAAGGGGACATACCTGACGAAGAGAGAAAAGACACGTATCACACGTGCGTGCGCGCACACGCACACACTCTCATATATAGATGGAGAGAGACAGTCAGTAAAAATATTGGAAATGAAGATATTATTAAAGAAAAAACAAAATGGAAGCCCCAGTTTGAAAACTGCCCTCCACCAAATACTCATAGTCACATAACCAAAGTTTAAACTGTCCTGATTTCCCCACTATGCTGACTCTGACCTTCAACAAAACTCCCATTTCAGTGGGTTAGAGGTAACATGAACTGTCATAAACCACCTCGTTAGGACTTTTGCCAATGATGACCTTTCTTCCTACAGTTGTTGGCTGGAACTTCAGCAAGAAAACTCAAGTTGAACACAAGATCTCCCCGTGTCCGGGTAACCTTCCAGCATCCTGGCCGGTCAGCCTGGAACAAGCAGGCCTCTGCAGTGTGCTGCCCTAGAAGAGATGTAAGTTTCTGGGGACCCATCACAACAGAAAGCAACAGGCTTCCTTTCTTCTTTGCTCGTTACTAGCAGAGCTGTAGCTGGTGAGAGCTCAGCTTTGACCACTTTTCCTCTCCAAGTCTTCCCACTTGTAGAGAGTTGTTTTCTCGCTTAATAATAGGTTCCTAAGCTGTGACAAAGTGAGAGAGTGGCATAGACATACATACACTACCAAACGTAGAATAGATAGCTAGTGGGAAGTAGCCGCATAGCACAGGGAGATCAGCTCGGTGCTTTGTGACCGCCTGGAGGGGTGGGATAGGGAGGGTGGGAGGGAGGGAGACGCAAGAGGAAAGAGATATGGGGACATAGGTATATGTATAACTGATTCACTTTGTTATAAAGCAGAAACTAACACACCATTGTAAAGCAATTACACTCCAATAAAGATGTTTAAAAAAATAACAATAGGTTCCTATCAAGCAAAGCTGTCTGAACTTTCTCTTGATGATGTAAAGCGACCCCCTGGCCTAAAGAAGCCCAGGGTCAGGCAGCAGAGAGCAGGAAAGCATGATCTGAAGAGCCACACAAGGCGTGTCTCATACACACTCATATACTGGTTGAATCTTCTCCAGTGACTGCCCATTACTGAACTAACCAGAAAAGAATTCTACCTTCATTGCTGGAAAAAACATCTATTTGTGTAAGTCTTCCCTTTAACAGATTAGAGGAGAAAAACCATATGATGTCCTTAAAAGATACACACACACAGAAAAAGATTTGTTATAAGTCAACATCATTCATGATTTTTTTAAACAAACATAAAAGAAAACTTTATTAACATGATAAATGGTATCCTCTGAGAGCCCTCAGCATGAATTATATTAAATGGAGAAAAATGACAAAGACAGGAAAAAAAAAGGTGTCTGCCCTCACTCTTCATAGTCAGTGCTGTGCTGCAGGTCTGGACAGTACAATAAAAACAAGGAAATAGGGCTTCCCTGGTGGCGCAGTGGTTGAGAGTCCACCTGCCAATGCAGGGGACACAGGTTCGTGCCCCGGTCCGGGAGGATCCCACATGCTGCAGAGCGGCTGGGCCCGTGAGCCATGGCCGCTGAGCCTGTGCATCCAGAGCCTGTGCTCCGCAACGGGGGAGGCCACAACAGTGAGAGGCCCACGTACCACAAAAAAAAACAACAAAAAAAAAAACAAGGAAATAAGTCAGAGGTATAATGATTAGAAAGGAAGAAATACATTTCATACCATAGGATTTCCTATATGGAATAGTCGATAGATCCCATCAACAAACTGTTAGAACTAATGAAAGAGTTCAAGTTTGTACAAGATCATGTACAAAAACTATATGATACACAACCACAACATTTTAGAAAGGATAATTTTTAAAATATGCCATTTGCAACATAACGAAAATTATAAGGAACCAAGGAATAAATCTATTGAAGATGCTCTAAGAAATTGTCTTTTTTCAAGACCTTTCCCTCTAGTTAGTGGAAAGACAGCTCCAAATATATACTCTCATTACAGTGGGATAGAGGTAACGTGAGCTGTCATAAACCACTTCTTTAGGACATTTGCCAATAATGACACTTTGTCTTTCTATAGTTGTTGACTAGAATTTCAGCAAGAAAACTCAGAAACTTTTGGAGCGTCACCTATTCTCCCTCTCTCTCTCTCTGGTTTCTCTTTCTTGTCTTCACTTATTCGGTTAAAGTGTACTGCACTTTTATTTAGTTATACCAAAATAAATGGAAAGAAAATCCTGAAGCAGGAGATGAATGTAAACTGGGAAAATCTTGCAAAATCACAAAATAATTCTTGGTGCTTCCAGAGACAGAAGAAAGCACTGAAACAGACCCACTCTCTCTGTAGGAGAGTGAAAGTTGACAACCTCTGGAATTAAAGATGACATTTGCTGCCTCTTATTTCTTAGATTCCAAATGGTATTGTCAACTGTAATATGAACTTGATCTCTTTTTAACTGGTATCATGAATACAATCCATTGGCCAAAGAAAAAATAAAAGTGTGTTTGCTATCAAGAGACTAGTAATGCTACCTGACATGGGTACACTTGCTTTTCAGTTTCCAAAACCTGTTCATAAACATTGTCTCATTTGATGCTCACAGCAATTTTGTGGGATCCACAGAAACAGCATCAACGTGTAGGAGGAAAGTTTCAATTAATCGTCTCTATGAGGGCAGCAGCAAGATTAGAGGACAGTAATGTTTATCAGGGTTAAAAGTAAAATAATGAGTCAAATAAAAATAAACTTCATCCATGAAAGAAATAATTGATAAGGTGGACTTCATTCAAATTAAAAACTTCTGCTCTGCAAAGGACAAATATATGTCAAGAGAACAAGACAGGCCACAGGTTGAGAAAAAATATTTGTAAAAGATATATCTGACAAAGGACTGTTATCCAAAATATACAAAGAACTCTTAAAATTCAACAGTAAGAAAATGAACAACTGATTTAAAAATAGGCCACAGCCCTTAACAGACACCTCACCAAAGAAGATACACAGATGGCTAATAACCTTGTGAAGAGATGCTCCATATCATATATCATCAGGGAAATGCCAATTAGAACAACAGTGAGATACCGCCATCCACCTGTTAGAATGACCAAATTCCAGAACACTGACAAGGCCAAATTCTGGTGAAGATATGGGGCAACGGGAACCCTCATTCACCTCTGGTGGGAATGCAAAATGGTCCAGCCACTTTGGAAGACAGTTTGGTGGTTTCTTACAAAACTAAACATACTCTTACCATACGATCCAACAACCTTGCTCCTTGGTTTACCCAAAGCGGATAAAAAAGTACGCCCACACAAAAACCTCCACGTGGATGTTGATAGCAGCTTTACCCATAAACTCATAATTGCAAAACTTGGAAGCAAACAAGATGGCCTTCAGTAGATGAATGGATAAACAAATTGTGATCCATCTGGATAATGAAATATTATTCAGCGCTAAAAAAAGACATGAGCTAAAAAAAGACATAGAGGAATCTTAAATACATATTACTAAGTGGAAGAAACCAATCTGAAAAGTCTATGCACTGTATGATTCCAACTATACAACATTCTGGAAAAGGCAAAACTATAGTAAAAAGATCAGTAGTTGTCAGGGGTTAAGGGAGAGTTAGGGATAAAAATGGGAATTAAGCACATAGGATTTTTAGGGCAGTAAAACTACTGTGTATGATACCATCATGCTGGGTCCACATCATCATACATTTGTCAAAAGTGATAGCATGTGGGCCTCCCTGGTGTTGCAGTGGTTAAGAATCTGCCTGCCAATACAGGGGACACGGGTTCGAGCCCTGGCCCGGGAAGATCCCGGGCAACTGAGCAACTGAGCCCGTGCGCCACAACTACTGAGCCTGCGCTCTAGAGCTCGCGAGCCACAACTACTGAGCCCACGTGCCTAGAACTCATGCTCCACAACAAGAGAAGCCACGGCCATGAGAAACCCGCGCACCGCAATGAAGAGTAGCCCCCGCTCACCGCAACTAGAGAAAGTACGCACGCAGCAATGAAGACCCAAAGCAGCCAAAAATAAAATAAATTTTAAAAAAAAGAGATAGGACGTACAACACTAAGAATTAAACTTAATGTAAACTATGGACTTTAGGTGATGATGATATATTGGTGCAGGTCCATATATTGTAAGAAAGGTACCACCCTGGTAGAAATGTTGATGGAGGTTGTGCATGTGAGGGAGTGGCGGTGGTATATGGGAACTCTCCGTACTTACTGCTCAGTTTTACTGTGAACTGAAAACTTCTCTAAAAAATAAAGTTATTAATTAAAAAAGTAAATGACAATAAAAAGCCTCAAGATTTAACATTTCAGTTAAGAGATTTTAATCGCGATACAGGATGGGTTCCATTTTAGTGTTCTGCAAGAAACAAATTTAACAAGTCGATCTTTTTCTAATCCCTTACAGAAAACCCTGAGTAGAATCAGAATTCAGTCGAGAAGTCAGTGCAAGCTGAAACCCCGAATGGCAGGGCAGCTTAAGTGTTTTACACATGTGTCAAAATATCAGCTGATTTAGTTAGAGCCTTGGTCCTCTGCCCAGCACAGCAATGACAGTGGCATTATCAGTGGAACCGGTTTGGGATCGTCTTTTCATTCCAGACATATGAATCACTCTAGGTATTGGAATAACAGCACAGTGGCTTCTCCCGAAGGAAAAGATTGCAGGATGCCTCAACACATAGACAATAAGATCGGAAATACTCAGTTGCACATACATGGAAAACAGCGATCTTATCTTGCAGTATCTCTTTGAGAAGCCCAGGATGGGCAGGAGAGAACATGCAAATGTTATTTCACTTAGAAGATGAATGTGATAAAATGCACATTTCATGAAAGGTATATGTGTTACCTGTCCCAGAATGTGTTGGTTCTAGTCTGAAATGCATGCTGAGTTATCCCAACCATTTAAAATCTTTAGCATTGCAGATGGTCAGAAAATTGACTGTGACCCAAATGTAGCCTCTCTGTCTCTCTTAACTCTTCTGGCGCAATGAGAGCTGTAGGATCACAGATCATTTATAAATGCTTCAACTCCATCAAACTTATTACTCACTTTATTTAGACTATATCTCATTTTTAAATGTTTAGATGTTTCTTATTTAGAGTATACATTTTTCCATTCTCCTGGTTTAATTAATTTATAGGTGAAAATTGAGCTAGACTTTTTACTTTTTTTCAAACAATTGCTTTTCTCTCTGAAATATTCTCTCTTGGATAATTCTTATTATTTCCTTCAGCACAACACAGGCATCACTGTACCAGGTGGACTTCCAAAACTACTTCTGAGTGTAAATGTCGCTTACATTCTCTTCTGTCCAGTTTAACTAGCCAAGATTTTGTCTCTCGCCTCCTGGATGTGAAGAACTGGAGGGTTGGGAGCTGGTATGGTTATCAGCATAGAAGAGTTGCTCTTAAATGTTTAATGAATAAATTAAAGTATGAATAAATGATGGGAACAAGTTATTTCTTCAACAGAATTAAGATCATACAAGTTAAAAAATTTCATGTAGATCAGTTTCTTTAGATGTAGAGGGATTTATCTACCAGCTCAAGGGTTCTCAAGCTTAAGTAATATATCAAGCACTTTTTCTCACCAAGATTAGATTTAAAATATCTAGAAAGTTACAAAATGGATATAATAAACACCAAAAGTCCTGCCACTTACAATTTTAACTTAACATTTTATTCTGTTTTTTTTTTTCAAAATATCGATACAAGCAAAGGTCCCTTTCAACAGGTATATGGTGCCAATCACGGGCTTCCTGGCTTTCTGCTCCATATTCACCCTTTTTTGCCTGCTCTGCGAAAATAGGTGTGGTTCCTTTAAAGATTTTTCCTTTGCCAGATGGAACAATGCTAGATTTTGTCAGTAGAGGGCGCAGGAGGACAGGGTTCAGGTGTGTCCCTCAGCCCAGCAGACATCCCAGGTTAGCCTCCTTTGGAGCCGGTGGCTTGCCCAGGACCCCGCTTCCCCAGAGCTCACTGCTCGTCCACTGCTCTGCATGCAGTACCTGGCAGCCAGCAGCATCAGTGGCAGCAGCGTGCCGCCCTTTCCCCCGGCACCCTTGGGCGGTTTTGTAGCTCCGTCCTTCCCCATGAACACCTTTTCCTGGTATCCTCTAGAGCAGATTTCCAAGGAATATGGCCAGCACAACACCATGACAACTTCTCAGCAAGCCGCAGCCTGCCCTCTCAACAAGGTGTGGATTTCAGCCCGACTGGTGGGGTAAGTGGAGAAAAGGGGGTTCCGTCTCAGCCCTAAGTACAGTGGCTGCTCCCTGTTTTTGCTCTTTCTACATTCTTTCGTTCTCTTTTTAATAGCCAGTGCCTCATTATTCCAATCTCCTGTTACAGTTATTAGTTCTTTACATTCAACTTTCCCTCTTAAATTACGGTGTGGTTTCTTTCTCTTGACTGGACCCAAGCAAAAATAGATACCAGCAAGTGTCCCTTTCAGCAAGTATATTAAATGTATATTTCTCTAATAAGGTGTGAAGTTAATGAATATGGCTGGCGTAGCTGCTTTTACCTATGGACGTATGGCACGGATTGATGTGTTATGTGCTTGTACTTCTTGTCCCATAAGTGCCAGAGGGATGATTCTGGTCATGTAGAGAAGTACTACCACCCTTGGGGACCTGTCATCCTGACTATAAGTCGCTGTGACTAACGATTATGCCCGTTGGAGTCTCGGGCAAAGAGAGGCAGCCTCTACTCAGACGCACCCCGAGGCCTTGAACTTGTCGCTCCCCGATGCGATTGCTCCCACTGGCACTCCCGCTTTTGAAAAGCAGCTGCTGGGCTCTTGGGCTCTCATGAAGGCCAGGTGACCCTCTTGCTGGATATTCCCATCTGAGGTGGGTAAACTTCAACTCAATGACTAGAAGGTGCGGAGAACCCAACAAGCCCTGCTTGTGAAGGTTTCAGCCCACCTGAGCCAGCAGCATCACAACTGTCTGTGCAAAAGTGGCCGCTAGCTCTCTGAGGGAAATTTTATCCCCCGCCTCTTCCATGAAGCCAAGCTTCTGGCTCTAGGGGACCCTCAACTCACAAAGGGGCACAGCTGGGGAATTAATAAGAGTCATGTATTCTTTCAATTAATTTAACCAATTGAATATATGGAAGAGAGAAGAAGAGAGAGGGAGAGAGAGAGAGAGCGACCCAGCTCATTGGACATCACTGGAAGTACCAGGGAGCCAATTTCATTTGTTTTTTTTTTGAAGTATAGTTGATGTACAACGTTGTGTTAGTTTCTGCTGTACAGCAAAGCGATTCAGTTATACATGTGTATATATATATACTTGTTCATATTCTTTTCCATTATGGTTTATCACAGGATATTGAATACAGTTCCCTGTACTATACAGCAGGACCTTGTTGTTTATCCATTCTATGTATAATAGTTTGCATCTGCTAACCCCGAACTCCCACCCCATCCCTGTCCCCAGCCTTGGCAACCACTAGTCTGTTCCTTACATCTGTGAGTCTGTTTCGTAGGTAAGTTCATTTGTGTCATACTTTAGATTCCATGTATAAGTGATATCATATGGTATTTGTTTTTCTCTGTCTGACTTACTTCACTTAGCATGATAATCTCTAGGTTCATCCATGTTGCTGCAAATGGCATTATTTCATTCTTTTTTATGGCTGAGTGATATTCCATTGTATATATGCCACATCTTCTTTATCCATTCCTCTGTCAATGGCTATTTAGGTTGCTTCCATGTCTTGGCTATTGTTAATAGTGCTGCTATGATCATAAAGGTGCGTGTAGCTTTTTGAATTGTAGTTTTGTCTGAGGACACCAATTTCTTTTTTTTTTAACATCTTTATTGGAGTGTAATTGCTTTACAATTGTGTGTTAGTTTCTGCTTTATAACAAAGTGAATCAGCTATACATATATATATATCCCCATATCTCCTCCCTCTTGCGTCTCCCTCCCACCCTCCCTATCCCACCCCTCTAGGTGGTCACAAAGCATTGAGCTGATCTCCCTGTGCTATACGGCTCCTTCCCACTTGAGGACACCAATTTCTTACTCTGAAAATTGGCAATTAGAAGCAAAGAGTTATCTTGCCTTTCAGGATAATCAAATAGCCCTAACTGAAGAGTGACAGTTCTTATTTACAGGGGAATTCCAGCTAATACATACGAAAGAAATTATAGGAAAGTATCACTTAGCCACCCCTAATGAAATAATTGAATCAGGCAATAGTCATCAAAGGATAATATCACTTGACCAATGATTGGTGGGGAGCTATGATGGAGAGATCAGGCTGTCACCACCCACACCCTTTGATCAGTCTTAGCATCACTAAAAATAGAAACCAGACATTAGGTGCCTCCAGATGTAATGCAATATGAAGAGCACAGCACCAGCTGTAACATATTCTTGCCAAAAAAAAAAGTTAAACCTGAATCTAATCAAGTCTCTAGGGCGAACTAGAAGACATACAGGGGATAGAAAAGAAGTTAAATAAAATCACAGAGATACGAAAAAACAAATCAGAATGTGGGACATTCTATAGGACAACTGGTCTGGCTTATTGAACAAGCCAATTGTGGAGGAAGGGGGAGGACTCAGTTTGATGAAAAGAGCCTTAAAAAGCACAACCAACAAATGTAATGAGTGGACCCTGATTCCATTCTATTTTGAATAATGTGAACAAATATGTTAAGATAATCAGGAGAACTTGATCGTAAAATGGTTCTGAAGAATTACTGTTAATTTTATTACATGTGATAATAACATTGTGATTAAAGAAGAAAATGTTTTTATATTTTAGGGACTAAAATATGCTGGAGGGAAATGACATGTCTAGGATTCTCTTGAAAATACTTTAGCAAAGAAAAAGAAAACAGACATGCATCGTTGAAATAAATGTGGAAAAATCTTGTTAACTGTTGAATCTGGGGAAATGGTATATAGGCATTCATGGCACTGTTCTCTGAAATGTGGGACATGTTTTATAATAAAATCATTTAAAGTCTTTTAGACAATAGATGAAGTCATACAACAAAGTAGAAATTAGAAACCATTAAAATGAGCAGAAAAGGAACAAAGTATCAAAAATTCAGGGGACATGTAAAAAAATATTCACCAGAAAAATTGTAGCCTTAAATGTATTTATTATTTTTTTTAAAGAGTGACAAAGATAAAAAAGAATTTAAAGCTTAGGAAAAGGTACACTTCTGCACATGGTTGAGATGGGACTGGGTTTACCCACCTGCCTGAAACAACAAAAAACTAGGCAACATGTAGAAAACAGTGGTTGCCAACATACTGAACATCAGGCAACAAAAGAAAGTGATCCCAGAGAAACAGAAAACACGAGAGGTGAGCCCTGTGATGAACCCATTTTCTTGCATCAGGTTTCCAGGCCATAGAGAAGTGGGCGTGAACCCAGGACTATGTTCCAGAACTGTGGCTCCATAGTTGAGTAAAAAGTTAAACAAAGGTCTGACATAAAATCCAGCCATTCACTTAGGTGTTTATGTAAATGAAATGAGGGAGAACATCTATACAAAGATGTGTACGTGGATGCTCCTAGCAATTTTATTCACAGTAGCCAAAAGCTAGACATTACTCTGCTGTTTAACAATAGGTGAATTGATACATTATGGTATATTCATACAACGAAACGAAGTACTACTTAGCAGTAAGAAGGAATGAGCAGGGCTTCCCTGGTGGCGCAGTGGTTGAGAGTCCGCCTGCCGATGCAGGGGACACAGGTTCGTGCCCTGGTCTGGGAAGATCCCATATGCCGCGGAGCAGCTGGGTCCGTGAGCCATGGCCGCTGAGCCTGCGCGTCCGGAGCCTGTGCTCCGCAACGGGAGAGGCCACAACAGTAAGGGTACCGCGTACCGCAAAAAAAAAAAAAAAAAAAAAAAAAAGAAGGAATGAGCAATTGATATATGCAACATCATGGATGAATCTCAAAATAATTATGTTATTTATATAAAATTCTACAAAATGCAAACTAATTATCGTGTCAGAAAGCAGACCAGTGGTTTCCTGCAGAATGAGGGTGGAGCGGGTGAAGAAAGGCAGGATGGAGACATTTTTTTAAAAAGCACAAGGAAATTTTGGGGAGTGATGTACATGTTTATTATTTTGTTTGTGGTGGTGGTTTCATGGGTGTCAAATGTGTTGAACATAGAAAATTGTACATTTGAAGAATATGTAGTTTAGTGTGTTCAACTCTATCTCGATAAAGCTATTTAAACAATAACAATGAAATAGCATTTAATATTCATTAGATGGAAAAATTTTTTAAAGATTGACAGTATCTAATCATTATGAGGTTGTAGAAGAAAGAACATGATCATATATTATGGTATATGAGTAGGGAATGGCATCGTGGAGGGTAATTGGTCAGAATTCTTCGAGATTTCACAGGTGCATTTACAAAGTGCTGTGAATATAGGGAGCTCTCTGGGGAGATGGTGACCCAAACGCTTCTGTGCCCCCTTCCTCGCCCAACTACTACTTTTTTTTTGCGGTACGTGGGGCTCTCACTGTTGTGGCCTCTCCCGTTGCGGAGCACAGGCTCCGGACGCGCAGGCTCAGCGGCCATGGCTCACGGGCCCAGCCGCTCCGCGGCACGCAGGATCCTTCCGGGCCGGGGCACGAACCCGTGTTGCCTGCATCAGCAGGCGGACTCTCAACCACTGCGCCACCAGGGAAGCCCACGCAACTACTTCTTTTGAGCAAAATAGCTGCTGGGCTTCCAGACTTCCATATTTTGCCTGGGGATCTGCCAGGATTCAGGTGCAGAGGACCTTGCTAGCTTCCTCCTCACTCTCTGCTGGGCTCACCCGCTACAAAGCAGACCAGCTTCTGAGCTAAAATATAAGAAACTTAACCGAAGAAAAAGATTTGGAGCAGTGTTGAATGTCTCATTTGTCATTACTTGAGGCTGGGAGACAGTTAGATGGTATTTACAAAGTGCTGCTGGAAAAGGCTGTAATCCAAGATTCCCACATCCAGCTGAAGAACCATACATCCAGGTAGCAACAGAAACACCTACGTGGACATACGTGGTTTCAAAGATTGAAACGCCGATATTTCATGTGATGAATATACTAGAGAAATCTGGTTACAATAAACGACAAGTAAATTAGAAAATCAACTTCAAGATGAAGTGGAGAGGAAATAGTTTTGAGCGATGACTCTAGTGATATATAGTTAAATCCAAATGGTTGATGGTAGATCGGGTTTCTAGAATTCTGTATAAATGTTAAGTAAGGGATCTTGCAAGAGAAAAGGTGTTCTGCAAAGGAAACCCTGTCAATAGGCTGGGAGTACAATATCCAGTTCTCTTACCTAAACCTGGTACCCACAGGCAGCAAAACTGTCTAAAGATCTTATCTGAGAAGAGGAAAATAAGGGGAGCTAAAAGTCAGAAAGCATGAAAGGAATGACCCTCTTGCCTTCAGCAAGAGGGTCCCCT